ACTCGACTCAACGTTCCGTACATCAGCCTCTCCACCAGAGGTTGATCCGGTGTGTATCCACACCGCCCATCCGTAAGGGAACTTGCTCACACGCGAACCTGGAGACAACAGTCTCATAAAGATGTTTTTATTAATTGTTGACTCCCGAGTCAGATTGATGATGCTGGTACTGAAGAGGAGTAAGAGGGGTGTCAACAATCTCCGCCCGGCATGTGTAGTTTACATAATACATAGACTAGACTGTCAGCGTAATTTCGCTGTGCACTAGCAGCAGTACGATGCTGCAGATGCCAGGAGGCTGTGTAGCCTACCTCACAGGTTCACACTCTGTGCGGCTCCAACCGCGAGAGACTTGGAATGGAAATATGAAGATGTTTTTATTAATATTGTTGACTCCCGAGTTAGATTGATGTTGCTGGTACTGAAGAGTAGTAAGAGGGGTGGCGAGCTTAGGGCTGCACCACTCTCCTCGAACACCGGACAAATAAGCCGATCACACGAAAGATCCAGAATGCTTCCAGAATGATTCTGGAAGCCCTCCTACTTTCTAGAAAAGTACAAGTGCAACCTAGGTCTAACATAGAACGCTTCCAGAGGGTCCCGGAAGGTTCCGGAAGTTTCCAGAAGCTACACACGTTCTATGTAGATGTCCCGGTCGAACTTGATCTAGCATGCTTCCGGAATATTTCTAGATAGAGCAAGAGAATACATGCCACGGAGAGAAAGATTCGTTCTACAGTCGACCCCGCTTCAAGACACACCACGTTTAAATAAATAAAAAGTGTCTTGAACGCGGGGAAGTGTCTTTCAAATTCCGGGGCCACAAACGCACCATCCCCGGGGCCAATGAAGGCGAAACATATGTCGAAAGGTGCGCATTCGCAGCAGAAAGGCGACCACAAGAGGTGTTGTTTGAAACCTACGACACAAGGTGATTTGAAGGTCGCAACCACTGCTGCTATTGTGCTGCAATACATACTTGCATACCATCGTTTGAATTTCCCCGTACTGTACCACCACCAAAACGCTAGCAAGCGATGGTGTTCTACGACCTACGCATCGTACATGTACACGACGGTAGTGCGCTGGTGTTGATACGGGCTTATTATTTGCTTTATTTCATTTTTTAGGCGTTATCCTCCCCGTGAATATCTTGCCCAAGATCTCGCTGCCGCACCTTAGAAATATCGAAGGTTATATAACGACACTAGGAAAATGTAGGTTACGCAGAAACACAGAGACCAAAAATGTCGGGAAAGCACAGCGACAAAGAGGACACCGCGCCTCCCAAAAGGTCAAAACGAGCACTCTCTCTGCTGTCCGTGGCCTTCCTCCCCGATGCCCCGACCACAAAACGCGTGCATGGGTCGCCCGCACGGACACTGATAAACCAGTGACACCAGTGCAGATTTGAACTGGCACGTCGGTTCGCCGCATGGCTTCAAGCCGGCAGCAGACGAACCGCTAGCAGATGGAATGAATCTTGCCATACACCCACATAAAGTGTGCGGCTGCAGCAGACCGCTGTTGACGATCCAGGATCTACAGGTGCTGCAGCACATTTTCTGGGGTGTACTCATAGTCGTGCATGCCGTAGTCGTTAGACCATTGACCTCGCATCCCTACAAAGCCGGGACGGAGCTTGCCGGGTTCTCACCGGACCAGGCCCTCACATCACCAAGCGCGAAGCGCCATGAGATATTCGGCGAGTCGCATGAAGGGTACGCTGCATCCTGCTNNNTTCGGCATCTTGTGCTTACTTCCTTGCGTACGGATGACAGCTGCGTATGACTAAATATATTTTCTGGTGCTTTCACTTCCAGCGATAGTTGTAAGCACTGCTGTGTAACTGCCTAGAGGGTGCTTGACTATTTTAACACAACGTGGTGCGATCATCCCCCTTGTGCGGAGTGAGGCTTCTCCACCCCGCACAACATGATCTACTCGACCACCA